TCGCGGGCCCGCCCTACCATCCAAGCCGCAAGGCCCACGCGCCTCTCCGCCCCCAGCTTCACGCCGCCACCGGACCAACAGCGACGCCCTCGCCGAGAGGATCGAGGGCGTGCCTTGTCCCCCAGCGCACCCGACGCTCGGACTTCCTCTCGCCTTCCTCTGTGCTTTCCACCGGATCATTCGGGATCCAGGGGCCCTCAGACGGTGCGGTGACCACACCGTGTGGTGAGTCGGTGGGGACTCGGGGTCACCGCACGGTTTTGGGACTCGAGTCCCTCTCCGAGGACGTCTCGGAGGAGGAGGAGGAGGCGGGGGAGGAGGGAGGAGGAGGGGGAGGAGGAGGAGGAGGAGGAGGAGGAGGAGGAGGAGGAGGAGGAGGAGGAGGAGGAGGAGGAGGAGGAGGAGAGGCGGAGGAGGAGGAGGAGGAGGAGGAGGAGGAGGAGGAGGAGGAGGAGGAGGAGGATGGATGGATGGATGGATGGATGGACAGCGCCTTGAAAGGTCGGGAGGTGACAGCACCAAAAGCTTGGGGGGATCGACCCGAGTTAAACCGCCCCTGAGGCTCTTGCCTCTTCTTTAGCTTTAATCCCGGCGACAAGAGCCGCCATTCGCTGCTCGAAAGCGGGGGCCGAGGGAGAGTCCGAAAACGCTCGCGGAACTGAGGTAACACACATCTCGGGCTCATCGTCCGCCTCTCTGGCAACAGTGAGCTGAGACGCAGGCAACGCCTTCTCAAGCACAGCTTTCACTTTGGGATTGGGGCCAAGTCCACGCCGAAAGCGGTTCAGGACATCCAGTCCCTTACGCGACGGCTTAACGCAGACCTCAGCGAGCTTCACGGCCCTCCCCTGTGTCCAGGCCCCGCATTTTTAACACAGAATCTGCTGCTCACGGCAGGGGCCCAGGACGAAATCCGACCGAGGCGTCTCAAGAACCGAGCCCGGAGGAGGAGGAGGAGGAGGAGGAGGAGGAGGAGGAGGAGGAGGAGGAGGAGGAGGACCGTGCGGTGAGGTCTCTTGGGGTTCCGAGGTCGCAGCACGGCCTGCCTCCACACGGCTTTGGGCTCCCCGAGGCATGGCCTCGCGGTGGGAACCCATGGCCTTTGCCGCTGGCCGCTGCCGCTCTCACTGGCCGCTGCCGCTCCCCACTGGAGTCTCGCCGCCGCTGCCTCCCCTCGGGCTGGGCGCCCGCTGCTCCCTCTTGCGCTGCCCGCTGCCCGCCGCCCCCCGGCGACGTGCCCCCCCCGCCGGCGCCGCCGGTCCCGCCGGCGCTGCCCGCTGCCCGTCGCCGCCCGGGGGCCTGGCCCCGCTGGTGCCCGTGGGGCGGCGCCGCCGGTTTTCCTCCCCGCCGCTGCCCCCGGCCTCCTCGGCGGCGCGTCCCGTGAGGACGCCTCCGGGCCCTCGGGGGTCCCGCCCTGTGCCCGCCTGCCGTCCGCCCGTGTAGGGGGCCACATGCGAACCCTACCCCTACCCCCCACGATTTCTGAGGGGGGGGGTGGGGTTCACTCCGTTCGGGAGCTCCCGAGCGAAGTGAACCCCACCCTCCCCCTCAGAAATCGTGGGGGGTCGGGGTAGGGTTCGCATGCGGCCCCCTACTGGTGCCCGTGGGGCGGCGCCGCCAGTGTTCCTCCCCGCCGCTGCCCCCAGCCTCCTCAGCGGCGCGTCCTGCGAGGACGCCTCGGAGCCCTCGGGGGTCCCGCCCTAAGCCCGCCTGCCGTCCGCTCATTGGACGGCCGCGCTCGGCCTCACTCCTCGCAGCCTGCCGCCCCCCCGCCGTGGCTCCGTGGGGGGCCACAGCGTGTCCGCCCCCCTCTCACGTGCCGGCCTTCTGGGGTCGACCCTTGGCAGCCTTGCTTCTCGCCCGACTGGGGCTCTCGGAGCGCTCGAGAGCGGCTGCCACCCCAGCTGCGTGCGAACGGCGGAGCGTGTGCTCGTGTGATCAGCTTCGCGCGGCCCGCTTAGCTTCGACCGGAAGAGGTGCGCTCTCGACCCGCGAATCAAAAAAGTGTGCTCGTGTGATCCGCGGCCGGCGCTCCGCTCCGCCCGGCTCTCCCCGACCGCTCGGTCTGACTCCGCCGTGTCGCTGCGCGCGTGGCCGCCACGGCAAATCATGTGCCTTTCAGTGTCTGTGCGTTGCTCGCCTCGGCCTGCCGCCCTGCTTCCCCGCCGTCCTCCGCCCCTCCATGCCCTCGGCCTGCTGTTCCCGCTTCCTCGTTCGCTTCCCATCTCAATCCATCGGTACTCCGGAGAAGAACCTGTTTTTTGTTCACTGGCATGTGCCACTTCTCCGCGATCGAGGGGTGCGCTCGGGGTCCGAAGGCGGGACACTCTCCGCGGGGACTCCCTCAAAGCACGGGGGGGCTCTCTAAAGCGGAGCACGCTCATCCAACACGGGGGCGTTGAGTTGCGAACGTGCGAGCGTTTGTCAGGAGGGAAAGAAACACACAGACACAATCAATCGGCGATTCCCCCAACAAAAATATGAATATGGGAAGTGCAGCTGCGAGTACCGCACGGATATGAGACGAAGGAGGGGGCACGCAAACTAGGCCCCTCTTCTCATAGGCACCGCGCCACTGGGGCCTTCGGTGGAGCTCCCTATGGGGCCACGAAGCGTGTGAAGGGTGTGCCGAAATGGGTGGTGGGGAGGCATGCGGACCCTGCCACTGGGGCCTTCGGTGGAGCTCCCTATGGGGCCACGAAACGTGTGAGGGGTGTGCCGAAATGGGTGGTGGGGAGGCATGCGAACGCAGCCACTGGGGCCTTCGGTGGAGCTCCCTATGGGGCCACGAAACGTGTGAGGGGTGTGCCGAAATGGGTGGTGGGGAGCCACTGGGGCCTTGGGTGGAGCTCCCTATGGGGCCACGAACGTGTGAGGGGTGTGCCGAAATGGGTGGTGGGGAGGCATGCGGGCGCAGGGGGCCTTCGGTGGAGCTCCCTATGGGGCCACGAAACGTGTGAGGGGTGTGCCGAATGGGTGTGGGGACGCATGCGGGCGCAGCCACTGGGGCCTTCGGTGGAGCTCCCTATGGGGCCACGAAACGTGTGAGGGGTGTGCCGAAATGGGTGTGGGGACGCATGCGGGCGCAGCCACTGGGGCCTTCGGTGGAGCTCCCTATGGGGCCACGAAACGTGTGAGGGGTGTGCCGAAATGTGTGGTGGGGAGGCATGCGAACGCAGCCACTGGGGCCTTCGGTGGAGCTCCCTATGGGGCCACGAAACGTGTGAGGGGTGTGCCGAAATGGTGGTGGGGAGGCATGCGAAACCAGCCACTGGGGCCTTCGGTGGAGCTCCCTATGGGGCCACGAAACGTGTGAGGGGTGTGCCGAAATGGGTGGTGGGGAGGCATGCGAACGCAGCCACTGGGGCCTTCGGTGGAGCTCCCTATGGGGCCACGAACGTGTGAGGGGTGTGCCGAAATGGGTGGTGGGGAGGCATGCGAACCCTGCCACTGGGGCCTTCGGTGGAGCTCCCTATGGGGCCACGAAACGTGTGAGGGGTGTGCCGAAATGGGTGGTGGGGGGGCATGCGAACCCAGCCACTGGGGCCTTGGTGGAGCTCCCTATGGGGCCACGAAACGTGTGAGGGGTGTGCCGAAATGGGTGGCGGGCGAACAGCCTGGGGCCTTCGGTGGAGCTCCCTATGGGGCCACGAAACGTGTGAGGGGTGTGCCGAAATGGGTGGTGGGGAGGCATGCGAACGCAGCCACTGGGGCCTTCGGTGGAGCTCCCTATGGGGCCACGAAACGTGTGAGGGGTGTGCCGAAATGGGTGGTGGGGGAGGCATGCGAACGCAGCCACTGGGGCCTTCGGTGGAGCTCCCTATGGGGCCACGAAACGTGTGAGGGGTGTGCCGAAATGGGTGGTGGGGAGGCATGCGAACGCAGGAGGGAGGAGGGCGAGGAGAAGGAGGAGGAGGAGGAGAAGGAGGAGGAACGCGGGGACCGTTTCTTCAAAACGAGGACCCAACACCACAGGATGGTTGGGAAATATGAATATGGGAAGTGGGGGGGAGGGCAAAAGCCCAGAAAATATGGGAAAATATGGGGAATCTTTTTATTTGTGTGTATTTATTTGTGTTTCCCAGGGCCCCTTCAGTTTGTGCTCCCCCCCCACAAGGAGTTTTCCTGGTGTTTCGGCTCGCGCGCGCTGCTTTAGCTCTTCCGCCCGCTGTCACGCGGCACGCTCCAGGAGACGGGCGTCGCCGGGCGGAAGGTGGCGGACAGAGCGGCGGAGGTCGAGCGGCGGCGGGTCCGCCGGCGGAACCGGGGGGAAGGCGGGGCGGAAGGCGAGACGCCAACGTTTCGGCTGGACGTAAGAGTGACCTTTCGCCGGAGTGACCTTTGGTGCGGGCCCAAGGGGTTCCCCCGGTCGCCGAACGCGGTCCGATAGCAGCGTCTTGCGCGCTTGTTCTGGGCCTCCCGCGCCCCGCCGAACGCCGCGCACCGAAGGTCGCTCTTACCCAGGGTCGCGCACGCATGCGTGTACAGCCAAGTCGCTGAAAGAAGGAACAGTTAGGGTAAGAAAGGGGCACGATGTTCCTCAGGTCCTTCTGTGGCTTTTCCTGTAGCCTTCCTCTTGGACGCAGGCGCTTGTGGGGCAAAAAAGGGGCTTCGTTCCTTGTTTCTCGTCCCTTCCTTCAGCAGCCCGACTGTAGTCGAACGTTTGTGTGGCCTCGGGGCTCCCCGGAGCGTCCACGTGCGTGCCCCGCTCCACCAGTTTTCGGCCGGCCTCTGCTGCCTCTGTGGAGCCCGCCGGCCTCCCCAGCCGGAGTACCTCGGTGCGGCCTGGTCGCCGCAAGGCCTCCGCCGCTGGTGGCCCAGGCTGCCCGCAGCAATTCGGCGCCCTCCTCCTCCTCCTCCTCCTCCTCCTCCTCTTCCTCCTCCTCCTCCTCCTCGTGGGGGAGGCGATCGGCACGGAGCCGCGAGAGCACGAGCGAGTGGGGGCCGCGAGGCGGGCGAGCCGGCGGAGCAGAAGGCCCGCGGCCGTCTCGGCCCCAGGGCGGGCCGCGAGCGCAGCGCCCCGCGCCGGGGCCCCGCCGCCCCGGCCGACCCCGGCACAAAGAAACCCCGCCGATGCGCGTCATCGCCGCGCTGCCCAGCGGCGCCCCCCGCGCGCGCCCAGCCCGCTGCCCCGCGCCCGGGCTGCGCGCCGTGCTCGCCACCGTGCTCGCCGCCGCGGCGGCCGCCGCGGACCCGTCAGTCGCCGCTGGGCACCTGACCGCGGGGCCTGCCCGGGCGGAGGCCGCGGCGGTGCCGGGGCTGCCCGCCAGGCAGGCCCCGCGCCACGCGGAGGTCGGCTATGCGTAAGCGTGGCCTTTCGCCGGAGGGACCTTTGGTGCGGGCACCCTGGGGCTCCTCGATGGCTGAGTACGATGCGATAGCAGCGGCCTGTGCGCTCTTCTTCGGCGTCCCCGCGGCCTCCGAACCTCGCGCGCCAGAAGTCACTCTTGCCCAGGGTCCTTCTTACGTGTAGCCGAGGGGACGGGGGTGGCGCCGGCGGCGCCGCGCAGCGGCCCGGCCCGGCGCACGGCGGCGTCGAGGATGATGCGCCAGGAGGTGACGGCCGACGCGAGCCTCGTGGGCCCGGGCAGGGGCCCGCCCGCGGCGCCCGAGGGGGCCGGAGAGGCCTCCGCCAGCGGGGGCCAGGACGAGAGTGGCCCGCCGAGGGCCGCGGGGCCGCAGGGGCCCAAGGGCACGACGGGCCCCGCGGGCTCGGTGGGGTCTGACGGGGTCAGGGGGGCGGCAGGCGCGCCCGGGCCCCCAGGCGATCCGGGCGAGAAGGGCGATCTGGGGCCTGAGTCCACGGTGCCGAAGGGGGTGGTCCCGACGCGGGTCGCCTGCTGTGTGTACGGGCTCAACTTTCTGATGATGTTGGGCTTCGCATATATGCTCAACAACCAGGTGGCCGCCAAGAGGGGGTCTAACGACAAGAAGGAGGAGGAACCCCTGCTGGACGACTCGCCAGCTGGCGGTGGCGACGCTTACACCGAAGAGGACCAGAACGACGACGAGCTTTGATTTCGGATGAAGAGCGAGCACAACATGCCACATGTCTCCTTTGTGAATCGTTGCAAAAATGGTGATATCATGTCTCTGATGTACGATCGGCTGCAGTGTTGCCATGTCGTTGTCTACACGGTCTGTCTGGCCGTGGCAAACTTGCAAACCTGTGGGCCGCACAGTAACCGGCCTCTCGTACGTGCTATGCCGCAGACGTCGTCTCTCTAGGAGAATCAGCTTGCCTCGAGGTGCTCCATCCCGCCCACTCCCGAGGCTCCGGTGCTCCCTCAGCAGTGCTCTCGCGATGATTGCTCGTGATGAGGAACTTTGGCTCGGCGTGTCGCAGGTTCTGCAACACGCTCTCTGCGCCCCCCTTCAATATCGATTACCGATCCCTAACCCCATCCTGATCCCTATCCCGATCCTCACCATCTTACCACCCCAATTGAGGACATGCCTCTCGAAACCCGAAGGGAACCGCCTACATCCCCATCCATGGGGGTGAATCGGCCAGTGGGGCCCAGGCAACGCCAGGGGGGATAGGGATCGGTTAACCGATGCCCACCCTTTTCCAAGCGCCAGCGCCCCGAGTCTTTCCGAGCCTCCCGCCCCGCAGAGCGGAGTGACGCGCTGTCCGCTTGCCGAGCATCTCGCGTCGCTGGGGCCGCCGCGGCGACACGCTGAGCAAAAGTCCCTGACCGTGTCTGCCCCCTGAACAATTGTCCCGAGGTAGGCTGCTTGCTCGCCGCAAGGCGCAGGCCGCTCCCGCTGTCTTGGCTGCGGGCGGCTGGTGCGCTTCTCCGCTGGCCCCGAGACCATGTCCAGCTGGCCCGTCCCGACATGGCTGCCTCAATCTAGGCCTCCCAGATGTCGGAGGATCGCGCCGCATCGCCGATGCGGCTCGATGTGGAGCCCGATTTTCTCCACGCCGATGCATCGGTGAGGACGCGTCGACAATACGTCGCGATCTGCCGACCCCATCTACTTGGACCCCGTCTGAGAGGCCTCACGGCTGGAGCTCGCCGTGGCACTGCCCCGCTGGGGCTGCGAACTCCTCGGAGGTCGAGCCAGTCCTCTGTCCCTGGGCATCTCCTCAGTGCTGATCTGGCCTGGTCCATGCCCGGCCTGGCCTCAGTTCGCTCCAGCTCGTCCCAAGCCTGGCCCAAGGCTTCGCCACCGGCGCCCTCCTCCTCCTCCTCCTTCTCCTCCTCCTCCTCCTCCTCCTCCTTCTCCTCCTAGTGCTTTCCTTTTTCCCTCTCCCTCATAGATTACTCCTCCCTGTCACACTCCGAGGCCAGTCGAAAGGGCGGTCAGTGCGTTCCGCCTGAGACTTCCTCACCATTTATGACTCTGAAGTTCAGAAGCTGGCAGCAGTTTCACAGATGGAGGGCGGGTGGCTTGCAAAATGTGGCGCTCGTGTAACTTCGCGCACGCTCGTTTTCTTAAACATTGCAAGAGTTTCGCGGATTGAGGGCGGGTGGTTTCCAAAATGTGGTTCTCGCTTTAGCGCCGCGCAAATTTGTTTTAATCATTTGCAAGAATTTCACGGATTGAGGGGGGGTCGTTTTCAAAATGTGGCTCTCGCTGTAGCGTTGTACACATTCGTTTTTCAATAGGCGCAAGAGTTTCACGGACTGAGGGCGATTTTTTTTCTCTTTCAAAATGTGGCTCCCGCCCTAGCGCTGCGATTCTAAAGCTTACAAGACTTTCGCGGCTTCCCATTGTCAGAGTGCCAGTAATTGTGTTCTGGAAGGACTCAAGGTTGTGAGGGTGCAACAGTTACGTTGATTCGCTGTGTTGAAGTCCCAGGAGTCGTGCTCTGGCAGGATTCAGGATCGTCAAGACGCAACTGTCATGTTGATTCGTGGCGTTGGAGTCCCGAGAATGGTGCTTTGGTACGCCTCAGGGTCTTCAAACGGTTCTCTCCCAACGAGGCAGTCCCCTCAGTGGAAATTAACCGTTGTATGCACCCTATGAAGAGGGAACTTGGAGGGAGGGTTGATTCCAACATCGTTGATGAGTCTTGGGTTTCCACTGGTCCTCCTCCTCCTCCTCCTCCTCCTCCTCCTCCTCCTTCTCCTTCTCCTCTTCCTCCGCCTCCTCCTTCTCCTCCTCTCTCTTTTCCCTCTCCTCCCCCTCCTCGTTCTCTTCCCCCCTCCCCCCTTGATTGCCAGCCACTCATGATCTGCTCTGCCGACGGCGGCCCTGCCTTTCCTCGTCGCACCCTCCCCCCTCCGGCGGCGACGGTCCCCCTTTCCTCCTGTCAGGGCCCACGCCAGCGCATGGACCCCTATGTCCCAGCGATCCGACACGGCCCGAGGCCTGCAAGGCGCAGCTGTGCATCCTGGCGCGCCCGACCCGATGCGACACCGACCCAGTGCCGATGCAGCCCGATCCGACGCGTGCTCCGAGCCGATCCGGTCTGCCCACTCGGTGCGGGCCACCCTGCCCGTGGCGAGGTGCCAGAGCGCTGGCTCGGGGCAGGCGCGCGAGTGCCCCCGAGCCGCACGCGTGAGCTGAGCAGCACCGCGCGGGGCGCGCGCGCGCGAAGGCCGAGGAAGCTGAACAACAGCACCGGCAACCTCCACGGCTACATGGCGGAGGACTACACGCAGGCCCCGCCAGCCGCCCCCCCCTGTCCTTCCCCCCCCTCATTCTCCTCATCATCGCCCTCCTCCTTACCCTCCTCTTCTTATCTCCTCCTCCTCCTCCTCCTCCTCCTCCTCGTCCTCACGGAATGCCCTGCGACGCATGGGCAGCATCTCCCCCCACGAAGTGGCCGCGCACGTCGCTGTCCTCATGGGCGCCGGCAGCTGCCATCGCCAGCATGCTCGGGAAGCAAGGTCCGACCCACGCGCCGAGTTCCACCCAGCCAGCACGCGTGGCGCGCGATGCTGGGTGCAGTGCGCCTGAGCTTGGTGGAAAAGGTGCACTCCTGCCCTGCTGTCGCCCACGGCACATCATGGAGCCGCACTTTGTGTCCCATCGCGGGGAGGCCTCTGGCCGTGTAGCAGTTGGCGCTGCCCAGCGCATCCGCGCCAGACGCGGGTATCGCCTGGACGCAGTGCTGGGCGGGCACGCGGCAGAGCGGCTGGCACTTCCACTGGGCGCCCCTGGAGTTAAGATTAGAGGAAGCAGCCCTGGGCTTCCCGCAGCACGCGCGCCTGCAGGCAGCGGGCCGTGAGAGCCGTGGCCTCCTCCCTCCTCCCGCCTCTCTTCGCTCCTTTCTATCCATTTACCGCAAGGTGCTCTGGGTCTTCCTCGGCGTGTTCGTTGTGCTCGTGCTGGCCACGCCCGCTCAGAGTTGCTTTGCACCGCTGGTGGCAAACAGAACTTCTTCCTACCCCCTTGCGGGGCGTCTTGGCGCAGCCTCGCGCGCGAGGCGAGGCCTCCGGCGCCGCCTCGCATGCGCGTTCCTGCGCAGGTTCTCTACCCCCCGGTCGTGGCCACCACGCTCGAGGCGCGGATCCGCAAGTGTTTTGTGCCCAACTCAGGCTCGGTCATCGCGTCTGTAGGGCTTCGTCGAGATATGGGACCGCTCCCCCACGCATGGTACTCCGCTGCGCTCGAGATGTGGCTGGGGGGCTGGTAGACAGCACACAGGATGCGGAGGCCCCAGGGGGGGCGCATCATGGGGTGTTGAGGGGCTCCATGCATCCTCGCGCACGAGGCTTTTGCAGAGAGGATGGCAGCTGAGGCTTTTGGCAGTGCAGTCCCCTCGTTTTCTCTCCTCCGCCTTGGCCTCGTCTCGACAGCTCTCCATCTGAACTGTTGCTTATGTCGTTGTGTACTTTCCATTGCCACCGCTTGGTGGCCAACAGGGGTCACCTTGCGAGAGGGCTGCGTCCATCCGAGATCACCGCCATCGCCGAGGGCGTGAAATTTGTTTTGAAATTGTCCCTGCGGGGACCAAGCGAGTTCCTGTGGACTCAGTGCTGAGGCTTCTGGTGGCGATCTTGGACGAACCCCTTTTGGCCACGCTTGACTTTCGTACCTCCTCCTCGTCTTCAACTTCCTCCTCCTCGTCCTTCGTGCCTCCATTCTTTTTCCTTTTATATACTTCTCCTTCTTGCATCTCCAGACGTGTCGGTAGTGCGGGCCAGGTGTTCCGCCTGAGACTGCTTCACCATGTGTGATCCGAAGCTTGCACGTGGGACCACTTTGAAGGATGGACCACAAGTGGTTTTCAAAATTGTTGCCCTCGCCGTAGCGCCGCGCACATTCGTCTTAACACTGCCCAACCGCTTCAAGGGTGGATGGGGTAGTCGTTTTCGAGTGGGGCTTTCGCCGGAGCGCCGCGCACAGTTGTTTGGAATCTCTGCGGCAGCTTCGAGGGTGGAGGGCGGCTCCTCGTCAACATGTGGCTCTCGCCGCAGCGTGGCGCACAGTCGTTCTCAAAGTTTAGAAGCCTCAAGGGTGGAAAGGCCGGGTGGCTTGCAAAATGTGGCGCTCATGTAACTTCGCGCACGCTCGTTTTTTTTGTTTTTTTTTTTGGGGGGAAAAAAACATTGCAAGAGTTTCGCGGATTGAGGGCGGGTGGTTTCCAAAATGTGGTTCTCGCTTTAGCGCCGCGCAAACTGGTTTTAATCATTTGCAAGAATTTCACGGATTGAGGGCGGGTCGTTTTCGAAATGCGGCTCTCGCGGCAGCGCCGTGCGTATTCGTTTTGAAAGCTTGCAGCGTTTTCGTCGATGGGGGGCGGTTCATTTTCACGACGTGGCTCTCGCCGCAACGCCGCGCACCTTCGTTGTCTCAGAAGTTCGCAGCATCTTCAAAGGATAGAGGGCGTTTCATTTGCAACATGTGGTTCTCGCCGCAGCTCCGCGCACATTCAAGTATACATCTGTGCGGCAGTTTCAAGGATGGGAGGCGCTTCGTTTGCAAACTACGATTCTCGCCGTATCGCCGAGCAGAGTCGTCCCAGAATTTGCAGCAGCTTCAAGAATCGAACGTTGGTCGTTTTCAACATGTGGTTCTCGCCTCAGCGCCGCGTGGCATCGTTTTCCCGCAACATTCAAAAGGATGGGGGACTGCGTTTTTTCAAGGTTGGTTTCTCGTGATAGATTTCCCGAATGCTAAAGAACCTGGGCTCCAATAGCGTAGCACTGGACAGTTGCAGCTCGGCTCTTTTTCAAGACTGAGTAGTCGGTCGAAACTTCCTCACGGACGTTTTATTTGAGAGGCACTGTTCTGATTATCCTTGAACAGAGGACGTCGCCGTAGGATCAGCGTTGCCCGCGTCTTGCTTACGTGTCAGAAGGATGCAAGGCAGTTCTTTTTCAAAGAGGGGCCCTGTCCACTAGGGCAGGCTAAATTACCCTGGCCTTTTCCAGGGGAGCGCATCTTGCAGCGAAACGGAAAGCTTGAAAGTACGTATGAGGAGGGAGCTTGGGACGGGAGGGGTGTTGCAGCATCGTAGTGCATTTTGGGTCTACTCTTGTCCTCCTCATTATTCTCATCATCCTTCGTTTTTCCTTCTTCTCCTTCTCCTCGCCTCGCCCTCCTTGCGGCATCCTTGCGCACTTGCCCCCGTCTGCTCCTCCCTCTCCTCCTGCTCCTCCCTCCAAAACCGACCTGTTCACGGTGGTTGACGACCGTGGTCTCACCCTTCCCCTTTGGTTTGCCCCCCCATGTTTGCTTGACATCCTGCGCAAAGGCGGGTCGATCAGGGATCTTGAGCAGGATTGGGGCTTCAAATGGGATCTTGGCACGAGGTTGTGTGTGGAGCACGCGCGCGGTTCGCCGGCGCTGACTGGGTGGTCAGCCTGTCGCCCAGGGCACGGTGTCTTACCTTGAACAAGAGCAGCGTGCGATAGATTAGCGAGTGCGCCCATATCTTTGAGGTTCTGCCTTCGTCTGCGGCACAGTACACGCCTCTGCGGGTACCTGTCCCGCACCAGCGGGCGAGCACCGTGCCCCGCGCTGCTGGCTCGCCTGGGTCTCTCCGCACGGCGGATGGGGTCCGAGGCGAGGGTGGGCGAGGGGGCCTCCTGTTCCCCTTCTGGGGTGGACAGACCTCCTACCCTGACACGTCGATTAAGGAATTGGCCGTCTTCGGTTCGCGAGAGGGCGTCGCGGCCGTCATTTTTGCGGGTCCAGGGCCGTCGGTTTCGGCCCCAGGCCGTTTCCACCAAGGGGAGGTTTACCAAAGGGAGGTCTGTCCACCGCCGATCCCCGCGCTGGTGGAAGGGAAGCGTCAACACTCTGTCAACATTTTTGGGGGTCAGGGCCTGCTCGAGGGAGAACAAAAAGGGCATGACATACTTTCTCGGAGGCCCGCGCGGATGTTCTTGGTCGGCACCGGGCCGCCCCCTCCATGGCGCGTGAGGCACTCCACTTTTCAAACACAGGTTGTAATCTGCCAGAACACGAGGTTCTCTCGCGGGGGCCTCCTGGAGCCAGTTTTGACGTCCCTTGGGGGTCTGTTTTGAAGCCTATGGGGGCCTCCTCGGGGCCTCTTCGGGGCCTCTCTGGGGCCTCTTGGGGGCCTCTTGGGGGCCTCTTGGGGGCCGTCTCGTTCGGATGTTCGGCTCGTTTTCCTCCTCTTGGGCCCCTCTTGGGCCGTCTGGGCCATCTTGAGTGCCTCTTGGTCAGTCTTGGGGCTCTCTTGAGCCGTCTTGGGGCTTGTTCGGGGGCTTCTGGGGACGTCTTGGGGCTGTCTTCGGGGCCTCTTGGGACGTCTTGGAGCGTCGGAAGCTCGAAAAGTGGAGAATCTGAAAGACGTCGAAACACCTAAATCCCAAAGGAAGTCAATGATTGTGGCCTCCCGGCCACTCTTGGGAAGGCTCTTGGAGGCCTCTTGGGAGGCCTCGGGCGATTTTTTTTCCGGCCGACTGGAGGCCATCTCGAACGTCTTGGACCGATTGTTCGGCGATTGGGGCCCCTCTTCTACCGTCGTCGAGGCCTCTTGTGACCCTTTTGGCCCTTCTTGGGGCCCGCTTGAGCCAGGAGCCGCAGGGGGCACGCGGGCAGCCCTAGGAGATTTGAGAATTTAGGGGGGTCGCCGCCACGGCCCAGACCCTCTCCAGGCCACCCAGGAGCCACCACTCTCCAGCTCTACCCTTTTTTCTTCACGCATGTGCAGGTGAGGGCGATGAGCTATGGGGGCAGCGGCGGCTGGAGATTGCTGCGCTTCGTCTCGTACAACCCACTCACTTTGGCAGCGGTTGCAAGATTACAGGACATAGCTGGAGAATACAAGAGTGCGGATGCGATCTGTTTTGCGGGAACACAATTCCGCGCTCATCGGCAATATCCAGTGCAGTTTTTACATACTGACGAGCATATCTTGCGGCACGCAGGACATCGAGAAGGGTCGAATCGGGCATGTGGGGTAGTAATAGGAAGGACTTCACAAAAGGCAGGTTCCCCCTGAGTACGTGGTGCGGGTGGCGGAGGGCACAGGCGTTCTGCAGGGACGAACTCTCAGCAGGACCCGGCGCTTTTCAGTCTGTATTCCCCCCCCCTGCGGCACAGGAGGGGGCGCTGTACAACGGCAGCGAGTTCTCTGTCATGCCATGAGTAACTGGGTCTAGCAGCGAATGGATCAACTTCCAGCGAGTTGCATTCCAGTGTTACGCATGGAGTTCAGCACTGCTTGTGGCAAACAGCAGGGACAACGACCAGTATGTGGAGAAGAGGAGCCAGAAGCAGATGGCCCGAACTTTGCGTGCTTCAGACCAGTTCTGAGAGTGCATGATTTGGTATTCGCCAACATTTTCAGCAGAGCAGGACCAACATATTTTGGAGTGAGAGATGTTGTGCGGAAGCGGCTTGATGTTATAGCTGTACCGCGCAGTGCGTTGGGCAATGTTGCAGATTGCCACGTTTCAATGATGAAAGGATGGCGCCTTCAACACATACGTTTCCAGAAGCTCAAGGACCACCTTCCAGTATGTGTTTCTGTTTGGCACACCTTCCAGTGGACACGACCTTTTCAGTTACCACGGGCGAGTATGGAAGCATGCAGCGCGGCGCTCTTGTATGGACGCAAGCGGACACAGCTACTGCAGGACATAAAGCAGGGCCTCAATGAGCATATGATGGAGTTTCAGAATTGGGGGCATGCAGGCGACGTGGACTCCATCAATGCAGGGCTGCTACACATTATCTGTGATTGCGCGGCAAAGGTGCTTCAGTCCTCGCCAGGGTATGAGGAGAGTAATGAGCTGAAGGTCACCAGGGGCAACAGGTTATCATAATTGCTGTGTCAGGGACGGAACGCCAAGCAAAAGGAGTTCGAGGCGCCAGAGGGCATCAACACATATATTTGCAGATTGAGTCGCAGTCTTACGCAGCTGTGAAGAGAGAGAGAGAGAGAGAGAGAGAGAGAGAGAGAGAGAGAGAGAGAGGAAAAAAAAAGAAGAGATATTATCGACGAGCGTAGTGAGTTCAGGATGGAGGCCTTGTCGGAGGCCTGGCGGAGGCGGAAGTGTCTCAAGGCTCACAAGTTCGCGCGTCGTATTTCTGGCGCGTGCAGAGGGCCGTGAGGACGGGTGTGCAACCAAGCAGCGACGACGAGGGCGACGGCGGCTGAATGGATTGAACGACTACATCTAAAGGGTGCGCTTGGAGGGGCCGCAGCTACCATTCAGAAGTTTGCGAGACAGCCCATGCAGGTGGTTGGTTTTTGGCGGAGTCCGTCTGACAATGATCACCAGCATGTCGAGGCCACCTTCAGGCACGCAGTTTTCGAGTTTCCAGAAGCAGATCCTGATACATGGTGAGATCCGGGAGCTTTATATCAAGACGTGCATCATGACATTAAGAAGCTTCGACATGCAGTAGAATCACTACTTTCGTGGAGGGCATGGCCGAGTTGGAGTGCGCCAGGGGATATCCTCTGCATCCTGTTTGATCCGAAGTGGGTTTACAAGCGCGACAGGCATGGGGGACTTGGTGCACGTGTTGAGGAGGAATGGCATGCTCCTGCGTTTGAGAAGGTTGTTTATTCCTTGATGAGAACCATTCGACGGGAGGCGCGCGCGCCGGTTGTCCGGCATCAAGCGAACATGTTCAGGCTCCTGCGTGGTATTAGAAGTTTGTTATATAAAAAGGAAGGACCAGTCTCAATGTATTTCCGAAGTTCAAGTGTTGGATGCATGGAGGCATTGCGCATCGAAGGAGGGAGGACGCGATGATCATGCAGTTCTGTGGCTCGCACAGATTAAGACGAGCAGGCACGCCACATATTACAAGATATCACGTCGCGACAAACGCTTTCTATTAAGTCAAAACGGACTACTTGGTGGCAGCAGCAATTGACCTGGCCAAAGATGACAGGACACATTTCCTGGAGCAGCGAATAATGAACAGCGCATTTTGGCGCAGGATGGTTCGCTCGGAGCACGCGCGCGAAATCATGAGGGGGCTATTTACCGGGAGATCACGCATTTACAGATATGTCTGTGCAAGCCTCTTCTCATGGAGTATAGCTGGCTACTTACAGCATGTAGCGAGATAGGTGGCATAACATGTTGAAGGTTGCTTCGTTGCCGAATGGGCTGGGGCTCGAGGGCAACATGGAGTTTGCCACCGGCGGGTTTGTGAATGATGTTGGCAGAAATGGTTTGAGCGTCGGTCTCACATCTATCGACCCATGGCAGATGGTGGGATCTTATATGTGATGCTAAGTTGGAGGAGATAGGAGGTGCGCAGAACAGGGACAAGCAGGTCAATCTAGTGCAAGGAGCTAAACATAACGCTAAACTCATCAATCGAGCTCTTCATGAGCAGCCTCACTTATTGGAAGGGGGCGGTGGAGAGCTCGGCGAAATATCTACGAGGCATGCGTCTTTATGATGACGGGTTTCATCCGGAGAGGGTAGCTAGCCTACAAACCATAACGAAATCGTGGAACAGATGGGGAGCTTCTGAACATCGAGAGCACCCTTCAAGTTCAGAGCCATCATTGTTAACGGGCCGGTGGTAAATGCGTGACTTGGTGGACTAGAAGCATGCGGCCTGAACGTGAGGGCGCCGCCCACCAGCAAGTGCCTCGACCCCCTGCAAAGCAATATCACCATATATGGACGCGTACTTCCTAAGGACAAGTTCACGAGCAAGTCTGATGGTAATTGCAAAACAATCAGCAACTCAGAGGTCCTTCGGAAGCTGGGCATCCGCGCGCTCTTCTGTGAATTGCGCATGAGGAGATCAAAGTGGTCGCGGGCTCCAGTGCGAAGGCCCGTCGAGCACGCGCAGGTGATCGGAGCGTTGATTGGGCGCATGCGGGGCGAGAGTGAACATGTTGATATCCAGGAGGGCCGCGCCTGGCAGGGCGAATCCGCGGTTGCGGCAGCTGCGGGGGGATGCGGAAGCTCCTGAGTGCAGTGGTGAGGGGGCCTCTTGAGTAGAATCCCTGGATGGGGTCTCTTTGCAGACTTTTTGAGGAGCCGCGGCGTGAAGATTCTCTGGCGCTCGACGCCCGCGTGCTGAGGGCGCGAGAGAGAACTCAAGAGACCCCCCCTCCGCCAGGTCTTGGTTTCGGGCCGCCCGGGGAAGAGGGGCCGTCTGCTTCTCAAAATCCGGGGGGGGGGGGGGGGGGGGTCAGTGCGTTGCGTGTAATCTAAGTTTCAAGACGCGCCAGGCCATGATCGTGCGCCATGTGAGGCCCCAGGTCCCAGGCCGAAAACCAGGGTGCTAGAGGTGTCGCGCGCGCTGTCACTTTATCTAGCTATTGTATAATCTGTAGAAGCACTCTGGCCGACCGTCAGGCGGCCCGACACCATATGCCAGACGCTTTGACTAGGGACATATTTTATGTAGATGGCCGTTTTCGGTTTCATGCGCGCATTGCACACGGGCAAGTTGCGCGTTCACTGCGTAACCATTTTGCAGGCAGTCCTGATTTACTTGATTCACGCTTGCTTGCTGCGCGTCTTCAGCCATTTCTCAGCGGCGACCATTATCTCTCGACCGATGGCTCAGCGGTTGCCCTCCGCTGGAGCTGGGCAGGGGAATTGCGGGCCAGCGCCTGCAGGGGCAGGGCAGCCGGAGGCCCCACCACGGCAGAGGCGCCAACAACGGACCAGAAGGATGCGTCTCACAAGCTCACCGTGCAGATGGGGGCGCGGATGAGAGAGCAGGAGGCAGGGGGCTCGCGCTCCAAGTGCCCGTCGGGCCGCCCTGTCATCATGGGGGCGTCGGGCGCGGGGCAGCAGTGCGGCGCGGCTGTCGAGGCGGCGGGGGCGCAGCGCGCATGCGGGTCGCTACGCTTGCGCGCATTCATCGCGATACTCAGAGCCCTGAGCAAGACGGACGCCACAGGACAAGACAAGGAGGTGCAGATGATCTTCAGAGCCGTCGTCAGGTTCAAGGAATTCGCCGACAACGGCAAGCCGGGCGACTTGGAGGAATGGGTGCACAGTTGCAGGGCGAGCGAGTACTTCACGAAGGTCCACCAGCAGCCGCCGCATCGCATCGTCTTCAACGTATCACGGCACTGGCCACTCGCCAAGACATCCGAGGAATATCTCGGAATGCAAAGCGAAAAGTACCATCCAGAAGAGCTGGGCGCGGCCTCCAACAGGGTGCGGCTGCAGGTCGACAGGCTGCTGACCCAGGCTCTGCGTCATGCGGGGGCCACGCGTCTGCCAGGCAGAGCTTCAGTCGGCGGGCTGGTTCATCAGATGCGCAAGAAGTGATTATGGGAAGATTGATTGCAGCAGCTACTTCAGGCGGCGAGTCTGCTATGTCGAGCGCAGGTGAGACCAGCAGTGTTGCGTCGCCAGCAGCTTCATCAACGCGTCGATTGGAGGCCGGATCGAAAAATGCCAAGGGAAGCGTCTCTAGCGCCAACCAGAGAGAAAGAGAGAGAGACATATATATATATAGAGAGAGAGAGAGAGTGAGCCTCCCCAGAGCTCAGCTGAACCATTGAGTGCTATTCTTTTCGAACTAGTTTGAAGGCGTCGAAACTGAGAGCTTTCTGGCACGAGAGCACAAGAGTAGCGGGTGGGCGAGCCTTAAGAGGCTAGTCGCCCCCGCTCCAAGCGATCTCCATCTGCCCACAGTCGGGCTGGGCGCGGAGGTTGCCAGGCCTAGTGTTCCCAGAAGGAGAAGAAATCCAGGTGCGAGCAAGTTTTGTTTCTCACCGGGCTCTGCGGTGCCAGCGTGAGTCTGTTGTTAACAACTTGGTGCTACTGCAGTATGAATGAATGAAACATATATAATTGAAGAAAACATGCCCGCCGGATTGAGGTCTCAGGCTCAGGATTTGAGCAAGGGACCTGGGGGCACTCCATTTCGTGCCACAGGGGCACGGTGGCGGATCTATGGAAAAAGTGCGATCGACGTTGAGCTTCCCTTTTCCTGCACAGCTAAGCCCAAAGTTGGGACCAAGTTATCCACAGCCTTTTCCAATGCAGATGAATGAAGACTTCTTGCTTTTTTTTATGAAAGCCTTTGATCGTGATGGCGTGGGCCTGAGCTCCGTTATGCCTTCGCAGTCACATCCAACGCGAGAGACGAAGCATAACCAACAATACGACAATCAATGAAACGACTACCTTTTTCGATGGCCTGCGGGCTTAAGCCCTGGAGCCAACATGCATGTAATATCTCTCTGCGTGCATGCGTAGATGTATGTATGTATGTATGTATGTATGTATATATATATATATATATATATATATATATATATATAGCTGCATTTTTGCATGTATGCAAGTCTGCTCCTGAGGAAGTCGTGTAGCCCGCTAATTAACAACATGTTCGTGTGTACGCCCGGCACGCAGTGATTTCTATTGTGTGCGGATTCAGACACAAAGCCATAGGCTTCGAATTGAGGTGTTTTCCTGTTTGTCTCCTGCCTTGGTTTTTGCTGTGCAGGCCCAGGGGAGTCCAGCTTTCAGCTGTCAAGAACAAGTCTCACTTCAGGTGGCTTTCGTGTATACTTTTAATCGAATTTGTATGAAGAAGGTTGCTCCGACGTTGACTTCAGCTGTGCAGGAACAGAGAAGCTCCGCGAATGTAACATATTGCAATGCCCGTAGTGACACTTCTATTTGGCTGAGCCTGCTCAGCATCAGTCTGATCGACAAGCTGCATTGAACCTCCTCGCTCGCCTCCTCACTCGCCTCCTCACGGAAAGGATACGAAAGCATGCCAACACATGCCAATGCATGACAACGACAGTCCAAGCATGCCAAATCACGCCAAGTCATGCCCAGGTATACGTTGTCTTGCCAAAGTATGCCAAGGGATGACCATGCCCAAGC